TTTGGCGGGTCCGGGCTGGGGATTCGAACCCGCCAGCTTAGGTGTACGTGGCTGGAGCCTTAGCCGGTTGAGCTACAGGCGCCGAGCCTGCACTTGACTAGTCTTAAAAAAATAAAAATGCAAAAGAAATTAGATTGCAATGAGAATTAATTCTTTTCTTTATTTTTTGCCCCAGAGATAGGGTCTTACTCTTACCAGGCTGGAGTGCAGCGGTGAGATCACAGCTCACTGCAGCCTCAAACTCCTGGGCTCCAGTGTCCTGCCCACCTCAGCCTCCCAAATAGCTGGACCTACAGCCCTGTGCTACCATGACTGGCTAATTTTCTTTTCTTTTTCTTTTTTTTGGCCAGGGCTGGGTTTGAACCCACCACCTCCGGCATATAGGACCGGCGCCCTACCCTTTTGAGCCACAGGCGCCACCCTTGACTGGCTAATTTTCAAAATTTTTGTGTAGACACAATTGAAAGAGGGACTGTATCTAACAAGCACAATTAGTGTAACCTAAATCTTTGTACTCTCAATGAATCCCAAACAAATTTTGTGTAGAGAGGGTCTCATTATGTTGCCTACGCTGGGTCTCAAACTCAAATGATCCTCCTGCGTTGGCCTCCCGAAGTGCTGGGATTACAAGCCTGAGCCACTGTGCCCAGAGAAAAATAATTATAAAGCAATTTTTCTTCCATTAACTCATTCCAATATGCAAGGCAGAGAGCAATACCTTCCTTTATTTTAAAGTAGTAGCTCAGAGAGGAATGGAAAGAAGGGGGCAGGGAACCTCGGTTGGGCAAAGCTTTAACAAATTTTATTTTAAATAAGTTAACAAGATCTACCTATTATAGATTACTGAGCAAGGACAGAGGTTTTGTTTTTCCTTCTTTTTTTTTTTGAGATGCTCTGTCACCCTGGGTAGAAGCTGCGGTGTCATAGCTCACTGCAACCTCAAACTTTTTTTCCTTTTTTTTGCAACAGAGTCTCACTTTGTTGCCCTCAGTAGAGTACCATGTCCTCACAGCTCACAGCAACCTCAAATTCTTGAGCTTAAGTAATTCTCTTCCCTCAGCCTCCCAAGTAACTGGGACTAAAGGCGCCCGCCACAACGCCCGGCTATTTTTAGAGATGAGATCTTGCTCTGGCTCAGGCTGGTCTCAAACTCGTGAACTCAGGCAATCCACTCGCCTTGGCCTCCCAGAGTGCTAGGATTACAGCTGTGAGCCACCATGCCCGGCCTCAAACTCCTGATTCAAGTGATCCTTTTTTTCCTCAGCCTCCAGAGCAGCTGAGACTACAGGTGCCCACCATAACACCCAGCTAGTTTTTCTATTTTTAGTAGAGATAGGGCCTTGCTCTTGTTCAGTCTGGTCTCAAACTCTTGAGCTCTAGGGATCTTCCTGTCTCGGTTTCCCTGAGTGCTAGGATTATAGGCAGGAGCCACCCTGCCTGGCCAAGGATGGAGGTTTTTTCTGTTTTTGTTTTGAAAAGTAAATTTATTTCAGGTTAATGTGAGGGTACAAACAACCAGGTCAAAATATTTGATTTAGGACAGAGGTTTTTTAAAAAGCTACTGAAGGAAAGTTTCTCTAAACTTCAGTGGGCAGCATCAACTAGAGAGGAACTGATGAGAAAAGACCAGCCAGCGTGTCACTGCCTCATCCCTGGGGGAGGCGGCGGGTGCATGGGTAACTGGGACTGCAGGAGGAGGCAGGCTCAAGGCTTTTATGACACCACTTTTTGTCCTTCTCACAGGGTCCCTGTTCCTACTGATCGCCTGCTTAGTTTCCCCCACCGCACTCCTCAGCGAAGACTGCCACGTCCCATCATCCACCAGGACACCAGAGTTCCCGACTGCCTATCCGGTGTCATGGCTTCATGGTGCTCTACCTCTCCAACTGCAAGGCCCTTTCTCCCACCCACGTCAGCCACTCGCGTCCAGGACCACACCCAGACATGGTCATGACATGAGGCGGCTTCACTTCCGAAGGGCTTAAGTAATTTTCATTGTGGGTTTTCTTATTATATAAGGAATTAATTGAAGATAAATTAGAAAAGCAGGTGAGCCAAAGTAGAAATAAAAAAGGCGCCCAGAACTTTTGATAACATGCCAGGAACTGTCCACCCAGACCGCTCTCTGTGTGTGCTTCTGTGCACTTTCTTTCTTTTTTTCTCTCTTTTTTTTTTTTTTTTTT